AAGAAGCAGGAGGAGACCATGTACAATGAGAAGGAGTGGGTAGTACGGGAAGCCTCCAATCAGGATGCCCTCCAGGAGGCGGGCACGTTCAGGTATGGAGATACGAGGAAACATGGATGTAGCTGAATGGTGGCTACAGAGAGGTGCGCTCTCCTGCCCACATCTCCCAACCTGGGAAGCGTGGGGAGACACTTCTTGGTAAAACACTCAGTATTTCAAAGTTTTTTTGGCTATTTTCCTGAAAGAGCTCGGAACAGATCTGGGTGGTGACTTTTTGAGGGGCTGTTTACTCTGATCTCCACTTTTGTATGAGTTTACAATTTGTCATAATAAAGAGAACAAGTGTCTTGTAGGATGGTGAACATTGACCAGCTTGTCGTAAACCTCTAAAATAGGTGCTATTTTAGGTCATTAAACTGAAAATGTGACATTCAGAGAGGAATAGAAATCATCTCCCCAGGCCTGCTGTGTTAAGTAACAGGAACCTCAACAAGAGAACCCTGGAAAGTTCCTTTCACTGTAAAAACGTTGACCCTGCCCTCAGAACTAAGCCTCAGTGACCTCTAAGAGGTCACAGGCCATGGAGAAAGAAGAGCGTGCCCTGGGTCCCAGATGAAGGTGCACCCGCCTCTGACTGGTAGTCTCTGTTCAGAGAACTGACTCCATCACTGGCTGGCTATCCCTTCCAAGTAGAGCTTCTCTGTCAATGACCTCAGTTGGCTTCAGGTATAAGCCTCTGTGTGATTAGGAGTAGGAAGAGGAGAATGCTACCATGAAACCAAACGTTGGAGCTTCTTTATGATGATCGTGTTACCATAGGAGTTATTCTGCTTCCATGTTGGGGGGGTAGGGGACTCTTAAGCAAGCTTATAGAACAATGACCTCCTTTGGGTTTCCAAGGCAGTAAATCAGTGGTTCTCAACCTTCCTAAGGCCACACTACTTTAATACAGTTCCTCATGTTGTGGTGACCCAACCATAAAATTATTTTCGTTGCTACTTCATCACTGTAATTTTGCTACTGTTATGAATCGGGTGATGCCTGTGAAAGGGTCATTTGACCCCCAAAGGGGTCACGACCCACAGGTTAGAACCACTGCAGTAAATCTTTATAGAAACAGAAAGCCTCATCTTTCTCCCTGGAAATGACGGGTAGGTTTAAACTGCTCACCTTGAGGTTAGTAGCCCCACACAAAACCCACTAGATCACTGGGACTCCTATTTTGCTTGTTTTCCTTCCTAACGATACCATCTGAGGGAATGCTGTCAGATGAGACATGAGCCGAGAAATACTTTCCTCTCCCTGGTTATGCTTCGTGGATTGTCTTCATATTTTTCACGTTCTGCATTTTCACTCTCCCGTTCCACTGCCACTGTCTCAGGTCCACCGGTCACTGTGCTGCTCTGACTGCAGCCCTGAGCTCTCAGCCCCTAGGGCTCCGCTCTCACCGGTGGTCTTTGGAAAAGTCTGAGCATATCTGTATCGGGGCTCAGAATTGTGCCCCTTTTATTTCCCTGTCTTTGATGTCAGCCCTGGATGAGTTAAGACTTTGGTGACTAGCTCCCCTCACCATCTCTGTGTTTTTCAAACTCAGATCTTCTGCCCCACTGGTGTTAAACACATAAATCTTTGTAGCCTTTATACTCTTAATCTCTCACAACCCCAAAGTCTGCAGGTACAGCTAAACAATGCCCAACCGTTCTCCCTGGTCCTCCCCCAGCCAGCTTGACCTTACACTGTTCTTGTCTCTGCATTTCTCCAGTTCAATCTTTTCCCCAAAATCAAGTGACTGCTTTGCTCCTAAGCATGCTTCATTTTCTCAGGAGACCTTGGAAATTCTCCCAAGTTTTAAGTTTTATTTCATATTTTTCTTCCATTCACATCCAGGACTTTCAGATATGATCCCTCTGAGAGCAATTAGTAGTGATAGCTAGGTACCATCTAGTTCTTTGGTCTCCAGGTAGTAGAGACTGATATTGGTGTGGTCTGCTAGTCCAGTGGACTAATGGCTTCCAGGTATCTTTCTTTTCTTTGCATAATGAAAGATCAATAGTTGTACCTTAGATGACTGCTCATCAGCTTATAAGAACCCAGTTGTTACTTTGTATCCATGTAGACTTTTCTGATCCTCCAGGACCAGTGATGTTTGGTCATGCCTAAGTTGTTTCCATAACTATGTTCCCATCACATTCACAGGCCTATTTGCAGCATAGATATTTACACATGTAGAAATATCTCTATGTCAAATCTATGTATATATTCTTTGGTATAGTCCCACCCTCCCTCCCATGGTCATTCAGCCTGTATACCTATCCACTTGTAGATCATCGTTAATGCAGGATTGTGTACATAACAGTATTTACCTCTGTTGCCTTGAACTATTGCACTGTTGCCAGTGTCTTCCCCTTCCCCCCTTTTTTCCTGACCTCCCTCCTTCTGACTTCTTCTCCCAGGTTAATAAATGTCTACCTTTGAGATAGTTAAGGTTTATTGTGCCAACCTGGCCGATAAACACATGTGGGATTAATTGAAGGGCAGAAACATAAATGGCTCAGTGAGCCTTGCCTTTCTAGTTCTCGGGTCTCTTGCTCTCTGATGGTTGGACCAGGGTGTGGCTGCCTTAGCCAGTTCCCTGCTTCAGCTGGCAAGGCTCACTTCCTGCAAGATATCCCAGAGGAGAAGCTACATGGACCAACCCTTATATAGCCCTGAGTGCTGGAGCAGCCACGTGGAGACCCCTGCCAGCACTGAGATGCTTACATGCTCACTGATTCGGCTTTCCTCCTGCAGTTGGCATCATTGCATGTGTTATGTGAGATTGAGGAGGGCTTTGTAGATTGGTGTCGGACATATTGGCTAATGTTGGACTTATGGGCTTGGACAGCACTGGGTTGGGATGCTTTCTTAATGTACACTTACCCCTTTATAAAACTCTCTTATATACATATTTCTGTGGATTTGTTTCTCTGGTCTACCCAGACTAACACAACTTTCTAGTTAGTAATATACCCTCTCTTTCTCTCCCACCCCTAGTGCCCATCAAAGAATGCTTCATTTAGTATAAAATATTTCCTTAACTTTTTATAACAGTGGTCTCATACAATATTTGTCACTTTATGATTGACTTATTTCACTTAGCATAATGTCCTCCAGGTTTATCCGAGAGGTGTTTCACAGATTCATTACTCATCTTTAGCACAAAGTAGTATTACCTGTACCATAGTTTGTTTTTCAACTCTTCCACTGATGGTTATTTAGGTTGTGTCCATCTTTTTGGTATCATGCCTAGTACTGCAGTGTATATGGGTATACATATATTTATTCTGATTGTAGCACTTGTTTCTCTAGGATACTCATATATACCAAGTATTGAGATTGCTGGGCCATATAGTATTTCTTTTTCTTTTTTCCATATAGTATTTCTATGTCCAGCTTTTTAATGAAGCACTGGACCATTTGACAGTCCCATCAGCAGTATGTGAGGTTCCACTTTCTCCACACCCTCACCAAAATTTGTTCTTCTATTTCTGAACTTTGCTATTAATACTGGGGTGAGATGAGATCTCTTTTTTTTCTTTTCAGTTCTTGAATGGTTAATGAGCATTTCTTTATATGTTTGTCATCCATCTAAATGTCTAATTCAGTGAAAGGTCTGTTCATGTTCTCTGCCAGTTTTTAATTGGATTATTTTTCATTTTATTTTTAAGATATTGCCTATAAATTTTATGGATTAGTTCCTTATCCCGTAATGTCACTGCCAAAAAATTCTTGCCAGTCTGTGGATTCTCCTTTTATTCTTTTGGCGAAGTGTTTTGACGGATGTAAGTGTCTAATTTGGGGAGGTCTCAGTCCTCTAGTTTGTCTTGTGTTGTTTTATTTGTCTTTGGTTATCTTTGATAGTGTATTTCTGCCACATATTTGGTCACCTAAGTTTGTCCCTATTTTTTCATGGCTGGTCATTATATTTCTAGGTTTTGTATTTAGGTACTTAATTCGTCTTGAGTTACTTTTTGTATGTAGTGTAAGATATGGGTCCTGTTTAATATTCCTGCAATGTAACAGGGCAACCTTCTCTCTCATAGGTTACACTGTATTGATTGTCTGCTGTCTTGTCTCCCTCAATTACACTATAACAGAGCCCCCATCTCTCCCACTACTGTTATACTGTATTAAAGTGATCTATTCCCCATATTGACATGGTACCGGGTCACCTTGTCTCCTGATGGCACTGTAACCATGGTGTCTTCTATTCTCTGCTGCAGGCACACCCTTTGGAAGCGTATCCAGAAGGCAGTGACCCCTCAGCTGGCCAGTATGATATCTATCATCGATAGAGATGGCAACCTCGAGCTACTGATTAATCCAGATTTTCCATCCTGGGCAAAGGATCTTTGGATGTTTATTTTCAGTGATATTAAGCTTCTCCACATACCTAACATGAAAAATAACATACGGTGAGTGGAAAACTTTTTTTTTTCATTCTTCTTTTTTTTAATCATTTATTGGGGCTCATACAACTCATTACAATCCATATATACATCAATTGTGTAAAGCACACTTATACATTTGTTGCCCTCGTCATTCTCAAAATTCACTTTCCTCTTGGGTTCCTGGAATCAGCTCCTCATTTTCCTCCCCCCCCCCACTCCTTCCTCCCTCATGAACCCTTAATAATTTATAAATTATTATTATATCTTATCTTACACTGCCCGGTTATATGCAGATCCTTGTGATCGATTCCCCCTTTCTACCCCCCCTTCCCTCCTGGTATCACCACTGTCACCGCTGGTCCTGAGGGGTTCATCTGTCCTAGACTCCCTGTGTTTCCAGTTCCCATCTGTACCAATGTGCATCCTCTGGTCTAACCAGGTTTGCAAAGTAGAACTGGGATCATGGTAGTTGGGTGGGGGAAGCGTTTAAGAACTAGAGGAAGGTTGTGAGTTTCATGAGTGGAAAACTTTTAAGGGAAGGTGGAAAAAATCATAGCTTTGCAATAATCTTGAGATGCTCTCTCATGTATTTGATGAAAATAATGATCTGTTTCAAAATCACAGTAAGGTTTGCTCCTTTTGCAGCTTAAAAGATTAAGACAACAATACAGTCGGTCGCAAAAGGGAATTTGCTAACATTCTAAGAAATCCCTGTTTCATTCTCTGGCTTCCTAGCTTTCAGAGAACTTGTTTGAGTTAAAGGCTTGTACTTGCTCTCATAAACAGCCCAGTAAATGTAGGAATGTTGCTTCCTCCCTGACCCATACTCCAAGGTGGGCACCATGCACGCACCCTACCCCGGAGTCTCATCATGGGGCCACATGCTTAGTTAGTCTCCCAGAAACTTCCTGTTTGGACATCAAAGGGCTTCTATTCTAGGCTGCAGGTGTTTAAAGAACATCTGAGCAAGCAGGATTCCAAATACCAAGTGTGAACACTTACATGGAAGACACGAGCTATGGATAACCAAGTTGGAAGAACACGCCATAAAAGCTACATCTCTTTGTGTTGGAGGAAGGGAAGCATGGCTCTAGGTGATAGAAGGTAATACTGGTGGCACAATGGTTAAGTGCTTAGCTGCCACTAAAAGGATGGTAACTTGAAGCCACTCAGTGACTCAGCAACGAAAGACGTGGCAATCTGCTCCCATAAGGATTTCAGCCCAGGAAACCCTATGGGGGTGCTGCTCTGTCGCATGGGGTCGCTGTGAGCAGAAACTGACTCAATGGCACCTAGCAACAGAGGACACTAGAACCCTAGTTTGGCCAGACTTGGGTGGTGACTTGTTTTTTCTGTGTGTTTGTGAGCAAAGGCATCACACGAAGGTAATCTCGTGGTTCCTCAGACAGAACCCCTCAGCCATGTGAAGCGCACTAGACCACAGGGATCTTCTTGGCGTCACTGAAGTCCCTCGGCTTTAAGGGTTGAAGCGATGGTGTCAGTGACGGACCTTGTCCTGTCCTGAGTGACATGCCACCACTGACCATATGCTTTGTCCTCCTGTGGCTTCTGCAGATCTCAGAGCGAGATGTCCCACATTGTGGTGCAGAACAACATGAAGCTTTCAGACAACAGCGTCCCGTTCAGCTGGAGAATCAAGGACTACCTGGAGGAGCTGTGGGTCCAGGCTCAATACATCACCGATGCTGAAGGTGAGGCCACCTCCAGAGAGACTGATGGACAGACAGACAGGCAGGCAGACAGGCAAATCAGTCTTTTACTCACTGGAGACTGTCTTACAGTAAGCCAGTGACAACAAATGGCTGCTACACTGTGGTGTGCACTGGACGAAATAGGCTCCAGTAAGGGTCAGAGGTCCCATGGACAAGGGATTCTCTTGGATGGGTCTTAGCCATGTGGTGGCCAGGGAGGAGGTGAAGTGGGACATGGCCAACAGGAAGAGAGCCTGCTCCCCATTCCCTATCAAAGGCTCTGGCAAGGAGGTGACAGGACTGAGCAGCTGTTCCCAGTGGGACCTTTCTCAGCACCTTCTTCCCTCAAATGAGCTGTCGGAGAAACTGCTGACACACAGCCCGGACAGGGCACTTCACCCTGCCAGGCACCTGAACGCAGTCCTTCTGGGAAACACAATTATGACACAGCATTTTGGAAAAATCTCACTTCTTCTATACAGAATGACCTTAAAATGATCAACAGGTCAGAATACGTGGCAATGAGTTTATTTCCTAGGTAGGTAAGAACTCTGTCCCATCTTCTGAGTGTACCTGCTATTCCACTCGAACACTGCCTAAAGTATCTGGAAGGGACCCTCCCTTTCATTCTCCATAACGCCAGCCCGCTCACTCCTCTCTGAGGCCCGTCCTGACTCAGAGACCCCTGCTCCGTGAGCAAGAGCAGGGCAACCATGTCTGCTTTCCGTCGGCAGGACTGTCAGAGAAGCTAGTGGCGATCTTCCAGCAAACTCCCCTGGGCCGGTTTCTCGCTCGACTCGGTGGAGAGCAGCAGCAAACACTGCTCCAGTGGTACTTGAAGGACTTCCTGCTCTTGACCATGCGCGTGAGCACGGAGCAGGAGTTGCAGGTCAGTACCACGTGGGGGATTAGTGTGACACCTGCGTCGTGTGGGCTGGATGCAAGACAGGGAAAGGGTTGTCTGTCACGTAAATGCTGCTTGTTCTCCAGTTTCTCCAGCTGGCTCTGGGGTCCTGCATGGGCCAGCTGAGAGCGCTAGCAGCAAGGCCAGAGGACGAGGTGTCCCTGCCGTGGGTGCACCTTGCCTATCAGCACTTCAGGAGCCGGCTGCAGAACTTCTCTCGGATCCTGGCTGTCTGTCCGCAAATCCTAGATAGCCTGACAGAAGCAGTGGAGAGCCGTCGCCTGCCCGAGTATGAGATGGTAAGGCTCTTGTGGGCACACGGAGGAGCTTGGAGGCCAAGGGCTCAGCCTTCTTGAGTGGGAGGTTCGACCCCACCCTGGGAATGGAAAACTTCGGGGTGTCCTCAGATACCGTTCAGTAGAATCTGGCTCATGGCGACTCCATGTGTGTTAACCTTTCAGCAGCAGACCGCCAGGCCTTACTTTCTTGGGACCTAGGGGGGGATGTGAACTGCTCACCTTCCAGTTCATAGCCCAGCACTTAACCATTTAGGCCGCCCAGAGACAAGTTTATAGGGCCATGTCCCACAGGGAGACGTCATGGGACACAGGTGTCGGTGTAGTCGGAGATGTTGGGAACATCACACAGCAGCTAACACGTGCTGTGTCCCAGGACAATGAGCAAGTCCGTTATGAGTCTGGAGCCGAGGATACTCTGGGCTAACAGCAGGGCCTCGGGGTTACAGGGCGGTTGGGGAAGGGGGTACTCAGTCACTGCCTGTTCTCTGTGCAGACGCTGGATGCGCTTGCAGCCATGGCCTGTGTTGAGCTGCTGACGAGGGACGCCCTACAGCCCACCCCCCAGGCCTGGCTGCAGACGGTGAAGGACCTGTCCACACCGCTGGAGTTGCTGTGTTCTGAGGTGCACATGCAAGGCAGCGGGAACGTGACCACAGCGCTCGTCAGGGAGCTCAGGTGAGGCCTGGGTGCCAGCCCCCACGAGCTCAGCACCCTGTAAGCAAGAGCAGCAGGCACAGCCAGGGAAAGGCTCTCCCTCCTCCCTCCCCCACACCAGCTCCTATGACCAGTGACATTCCATCAAAGAGCAGAGGCCCAGAGGAAGGGGAGGGCACATTCAGGCCAGGCAGTCAGCAGACCATGATGGCCCTGTGGGAACAATGCCGTGACAGAAGGACACTCAGCCCAGACGGTAGGCAGAGAGGGATTAACAGTGCAACTGACTTCCTGGGAGATTATCCCTGAGACATGCTCTCAGCTGGGTCCGACCTGCTCGGGGAAAGGCCTGCAGCAGGTGGGTGGGGAGCACTGGGGTGAAGGCAGAGGCATGTGCCGCTCAGTGCCCCCACGGGGCATGGAGACAGCATGTCAGGGTTTCCGGCCAGAGGCCAGTCCTCTCTACCATTGTCCCTCATTCCTCGTGTCCTGTTCTTTCTCTGAACTCCCTGCCTGGCTCCGGGGCTGTCCTCCCCTCTGTCAGTCTCAGGCGTTGTCCCCAGAACTGAGAGGGTGGCCCCCTCTTTGCACAGGACCCAGTGGAACCGCATTTTTTCCATTTCCCTCTTCGTGGAGCACGTGCTCCTGGGGACCCAGAGTCAGATCCCGGAGCTGCACTCGCTGGTGATGGACTGCACTGCCTCCCTCAACAAGGTCAGTGCCTGGCCTTGTTCCACCTCCTTCCTCGACCTGACACTACGTGCATGCGCCCTCGCGGCTCTGGACGTGGCCATCTCGGAGCGCAGAGCAACGTGCTTTCGCCCCGAGCTGCCCGCTCCTTCCATGTTAAGTGTGTAATGACACGCCCTCTCTGGTTGTTCATCAGAGTGCATCGCTGAAGGGTCAGTTGCAGGCATAGGATGCCCTCCAGTTAAGTGTATGCAGAACGGGAACCAAGGGGGCAAGAAGATGCTTGGGAAGCCACTGGAAAGGAGGAGCAAACCCCACTGGGCCTTGGAGGCGGCTCCCTGGAACTGTCAGCTCCCCCTAGCTAGGAAACAGAAAGGCCTCTGCCCTCCCACACCCTTATAAAGCTGGTGATGGGACAGGACAGTGTCTCTGTAGAAAAGTCACCATGGGTGTAACTACCCTTCCCAGTGGTGACCTCCCAGAGCAAAAGGTGGACTCTACTCTTTGCAACCTGTGAACACGACATGAGCGCACCAGCTAGCTCCTCAGTCCCATGTTTCACCCCGAAGAGAAAAGCACAGACTGGTCATTCTTATTATTAAAAATAAGAAAGGCCTGAATTAGTAACTAGATAAAGTTTAGCAAGATTTTAACCTTGCAGAAACCATTATGAGTTAGACATCAGATTGAAAATTAAACTCTGTATGATCAATTCTAAAGATGCAGAGAAAGCCTTCCATAGATGTCAACACAGGTCCGTAATTTGAAAAAGAAAATATGAATGGCACACGAAGAATAGCAGAGGTCTTTTCCTTTCGCTGTTATTGCCTGTGAGTATATATAACATAAACATATCGAGAGCAAACTTCATTCTTCCCCCTTAAATTCCCCTCCAAAAATGTGTTTCTGCTTTTAAATCTATTCCCTAGATTTAGAATCCTCCAGGTCCCTGCTTGTGTTCAAGCAGGCATATACAAGAACGGTAGATGGTGTCGAGTCAGACTCAGAGCAACCCTGTTCACAACAGAAGGAAACAAGGCCCGGTCCCCCACTCCCCTCACAATTATTACTTTGTTTGAACCTACTGTTCCAGGCCTTGTGTTAATCCAGTTTGTCACGTGTTTCTTCTTTTTTCTGACCTTTTATTTTACCAAATATGAAGTCCTTTTCCAGGGACAGGTGGCTTCTGATAACATGTCCCAAGTATACACGGGGATGTCTCCCCATTCTTGCTACTAAGGAATATCCTGGTTGTACTTCTTCCAAGATAAACTTCTTCGTTCTTCTGCCATTCCATGGTACTTTCAATAATCTTCACTAATACCATAATTCAAATGCATCAATTCTCCCCAATATTCCTTATTTATTGTCCGTCTTTCATATGTATGTGAAGCACTTGATAATATCCTTGATTGGGTCAGGCAAAATATACTAGTCCTCAGAGTGACATTTTTGCTCTTAAATATTTCATTTTTTCACATATGATACAACTTAATCATTCACCCATTTTTAAAATTTTTTTAAAGCTTCCTTCCATTTAATTTTTTTTTTACAATTTTTAAAATTGGGAGTCAATAGATATATATCATTCCACAGTTCATTCATATGAAGCAGAATTGTACATTTGCTACCACAGTTTTCAAACACTCTTTTCCTTCGTGCACGCCTTGACATTGTCTCTCTTTTACCCCTCCCCTTCCGTATTCCACCCCGCAGAAACCCTCTTTCTGTCTGCTGTCCCTATAGATCCATCAGTCCTCGGTTCATATGCCGAAAACATGTGACACAGATTCAAGAGGTTGACCCCACTGACTGAACACATCTGAGATAAACCTTAATATGAACAAACAAGAACAAACATACACACACATGAAAGTACAAAAAATGTTGAAAACGAGATCAGGTCCAGCATGCATCAGAGATACCAATCTATAAAGTCCTCTTCAGACTCATGAAACACATGCAGTGACGCCGAATGCAGGATGATCACAGGCCAGTGAGTAGAAAGTCTTTGGATCCAGTGGCGTTGTAAGCATCTCAGTACTGGCAGGAGGCTCCACGTAGCTTCTCCAGCTTCCAGGGCTGCATCAGGGTAGGTCCATGTGGCTTCTCCTCAGGGATGTCTCGCAGTGAGTGAGGAGACAAAGAGAGTGTATGTCTCCCGCCTCCAAGGAGGAAAATACAGGAGCTCCCATAATTCCCAGAAGAAGGTCATGTCCACACAGAGGCCTCATTGGCTATGATCCGATTGACAGACTAGACTCCACCCCTTCACTCTTAATCCTCTCAAGTCCCAACTGACACCAGATTATGTAATTTCTACACTGGGTGTTCACAATTTAAGCTCTGATACCATTCCCTCCTTCAGATTTGTATTTTACTATTTACATGACTTAGATCACACAGGCTGGTGTGCTCCTTCCGTGTGGACTTAGTTGATGCTTCACTTAGATGGCTGCCTGTCTGAAGATAAGCCTTTAAGACCCCAGGTGCAATACATTCCCGTAGCTAGGCACCATCTGGTTTCTTCACCACACTTTGCTATAGCACTCATATCTTCGGTGATTACTTAATGAGGGCAAGCATCATTTTAGGTTTTAAGATAAAAACGGCTCCATTTTCATCTTTGCTCTTCTATGTGGTGTGAGCTTTTTCATTGTGCTCCAAATGTATATCCAGTTTTCTCCACACTGTTGTCAGTGAGGGCTGTCCAGAGGGAGATGGATTTATTTCTATTCTCAATTTCTCAGTTTTGTTCCACTGGTTTGTTGATGTAATAGGTGGTTTGAATACAATGTAGGTTTGGGACTGGGAAGTGTGGGCCATCCTACTTGGTGCTTCTTTAGTAGTCACTTGCTTATTTAAGGTGTCTTCCCTTTCCATATGAAACTGAAGATTCGGGTTTTTAATCCCTACTGATAAAAAGATGTTGACAACAGTCAGGATCAGAATTGCAGAAGATTTGTGTTTGTTTTGGATAGTATTAAAATTTTTCCACAATGTTGTTTCCTTTCCTTGCGCTTGGTATATTCTTCTATTTATGCAAATCTCTTTTGATTTCTTATAGTAGTATTTTGTACTTTTCTTCGTGTATTTTGTTTCTCTAGTTAAATGTGCTCCTAAGTATTCCCTCTTTTGGGTGGCTACACCTAATGATACTGTTTTCCTGATTTCCTTGTAATATTTCTCTTTGTTAATATAAAGGAATCTGACTAAATTTTGTGTGTTCATCTCATACCTTGATACTTTGCTGATTCTTCCTATTCTAGTAGTTTTCTTGCTTGGGATTTTCTATATATAGGATCAATTATCTATAAACAGCGATAGATTTGATGCTGATTAGATGCCTCCTTGCTGCCTTTCCAATTTAGTGTCTACAAGAGAACTCTGACATCAAGACCTACAGGCCTTTTGCAGCTGTAATGACTACTCTCTGTGAATGTAAGGAGCGGGCCAGCAAGACCTTAACCAGGTACATATCTGGAAGAGGGTCCATAAAGAATAATTTTGGTTTGTTTATATTTTTAGCTTATCATAGTTACCTGCTTTGCTTCGGAACTGATCTTACACCCTTTGTAAGTTACAGGGTTGGAGTCCAGCCATGCCCTAAATGCCTAGGAGATGCACAGGATCCTGTATGCCTGCCGTGTGACCACATCTACTGCCACGAATGCATAAGAACCTGCCTCATCCCAGAGCAGATGAGATGCCCCTTGTGTTCTTTTGACTTGCCAGACAATTTCCCTCTGACTGTTTCACAAGAGCAGAGGTAAAATCCCTTTCTCCTAAGTAATCTTTCTTATCTTAAAAAAAAAGTAATCAGAAACATACACTTTATTTTTTTAAATCATTTTATTGAGGGCTCATACAACTCTTATCACAATCCATATATACATCAATTTTGTCAAGCACATTTGTACATTCGTTGCCCTCATCATTCTCAAAACATTTGCTCTCCAGTTAAGCCCTTGGTATCGGCTCCTTACTTTTCCCCCTCACTTCCCCACTCCCCCCTCCTTCATGAACCCATGATCATTTATAAATTATTATTATTTTGACATGTCTTACACTGTCCAACGTCTCCCTTCACCCACTTTTCTGTTGTCCGTACCCGGGGGAGGAGGTTATATGTAGATCCTTATCATCGGTTCCCCCCACTTTTTTTTTAATCATTTCATTGGGGGCTTGTACTTTTATTATAGGACTGGATAGTGTTCCATTCTGTTGTTGGGTTGCTAAAGTCTGTGCCAATTTGACAGCACATAACAGCCCACACCCCAACACCTTTGCCTGGTAGAAAATCTACCTTCAGAGAGCTCTCATGAGACACTGTCATTTATGGATATCCTTCTAAATATGTAGTTTGAAAATTATTTTCTTCCCAAGATGTGCATTTGTACAAATTTGGAAGCAGCAAAATCAAAAGTGATGAACCAGAAAGTTATAAATTAAATAAAGCCATCCCAAGAGACCCAGTAAATGTAGACACAACTGGTTTATCCCTATAAGCTCATCCTCCTGGTGCAGAAGTGCCCCTCTTGTTCCATGGCCTGAGGGTAGAGCCAGCCCTCCGGGCTAACTGCTTTGGACACCAGGTGGTTAGATTAGCTGATGCTCTGTGGACTTAGCGTCCCCGCCCAGCTCTGCACCAGCTCTGCCTCCTGCCCCCTCCTGCCCTCTGGTGTCTCCTGGAACTGGAGCACAGGGTGAGCCTCATGGATGGGGTTCTCTGACACACCTTGGGGGCATCAAGGGTATTGCCGCCTAAACGATCCATGTGTTCCTGACGGGTGATCAGCCTCTATCGTGTTGTGATGGTTTTGAAAACCAGTTCTAATCAAAGTAAAGAAACATATCTTTTAAGATAGGGGAAAAAATGCCATCCAAATCCCAAGTCATCTGTATTGCAAACTGCAGACCCTGTGACCATGTCTTGCCCATTCCTAAGGGATGCCGTCGAGAAGCACTCCCGGTTCCGGCACATGTGCAACAGTTTCTTCGTAGATGTGGTTTCCACCATGTGCTTCAAGGACAACACTCCACCTCAGAGGGACGTCATCGAGGCCCTGCTGTCTCTACTCTTTGTTCAAAAGGAGCTCTTGCGAGAGGCCCCCCAGAGTAAGTTGCTTTCTTCTGACAGGCCTCACAACTCAGTCCTCCGCCTCATCTTTGTGTGTGTGAAGTGCACTGAGCTGCCTGTTTCTGTCTGGTTTAAGGACATTGTGAGCACACAAAATCTCTGTCCCCGTTTGATGACGTGGTGGATAAGACTCCTGTCATCCGCTCAGTGGTACTGAAACTGCTGTTGAAGTACAGGTAAGGGGACGCACGTCGAGAACTGCCTTGACTCTTTGCCCCACCTACCAATTATGGCTCTTTCCTTTTCATGCTCATAATTCTAAGAAGCTTTTTCAATGAGACCTCCTGGCTCACTTATCTACATTAATTGCATGTTTTCACATGAATAAGGTGACCAGATTTTAACATTGGTAAAGCGGGACACCATTGATAAAACTCATATCCTGGCGAAATAGCCACATGGCAGCCGAAAACCGTATACCCTAGCTTGTCGTGCATTCTTTCCAAAAATCGGGACTTTTTTAAAACGCCGCGGGACACGGGAAACATTGTTAAAAATCGGGACTGTCCCGCCAGAAGCGGGACGTCTGGTCACCTTACACATAAAGGCACTTGTGTTTAGCACAGCCACCACAAGAGAAAAAAAGCTTAACTTGGAAAGAACCATGATGTTCTGAAATGGGCAGGAATCTGGGTTCTGATCCTAGTTCTACAGCAACCTCGTTTTGTGACTTGAGACTAGAAACTTAGAATCTCTCACCCTCAATTCCCTAGATGTCCTCCCAGTTTTATCTCCACTCCTGATTTCATGAATCAGTCGAGAAGTCCCTATAAGTAGATGTCAAAATGCTGTCTTGTCAAATTATTAAATTTTAGGAAATTCTTATCTTATCCTAAAATTATTAAATTTTAGGGAAGCTTATCTGAATTCATAAGAATCTTTCAGAAGATCATCGGTACACTCATCCTGAATCCTGACTGGACAGCATATACTTTTTGAAGTGTTGGAAAAAGCAAAATACTGTAATAAAAGTTCTTACAGGAGCAACCCTTTCCAACTGCCATGTCTAAAAGCAAACTCAGAAGAGATTAGACTTATATGAGCAGACTTCAAAAAGTTCATGGGAGAAAAAAGGTTCATGGCAAAATGGAATTTAAAGACAAAGGAATTTTTCCACCAACATTTGAAGCCCCCTCCTTATGTACACCTTGGATCCACTGCTTCTTTATCCGTGGATATTTTGCTCGGCTGCTTTTCCATCATAAGTGAAAAAGTCTGTTCAAACAGGGTTTCCAAATGAAACTATTGTAAATGTATATCACTGAAGATTTTCAGAATGTAAAACAAAGTCACTCTTCTCACTAGTTAATTTTTGCTCTGGAAAATGTTTTATTTTACTCTTTTATGAAAGAGTAATGTTGTCATTTCAACACACAATGGGTTATTCATGTTACTTTAAATGAGTTGATAAATATTTTTGAAATTTCTGGTTTAATCTTTTTTAACTTTGTACTGTGTTTTGCCTGAAAGTTTAGAGAACAAATTAGTTTTCCCTTCAACAGTTCATACACATTTTATGCATGACATTGGAGTAAAATCTCCACACTGTAACAGCAGTCTTCCCACTTTCTGTTTTCGGTTTCCATTTGTCTTTCTTCCCTACCCCGCCCCCCCCCACCTCCCGAGCTTTACCCCACGGCAAAGCTGCTCTGTCTCCATCTTAAGGCTGGTGTTCTATGGACTTCACACCTCCCTGGTGTTGTTGCTCACTGTACGGGCTTTCCTACTACTTGGCTAAAAATTGAGCCATGGGGATAAATTCAGGTCCAGGTTTCAAGGGTGTCTAAAGGTCACAGTCTCAAGGATTTACAAGTCTCTATCACAGCAGCAAGACTGTTTTTATGAGTTTGCATGTGTTCTACAGGTTTTCTTCCCAGTCCATTCAGGGCCTTCCATGGAGACCCATTCAGATCAGTCAGCACTGATACGCAGACCATCTAGTTCTTCTGCTCACAGGGTGGTGGAAACTGAGGTCCATATTGTCTGCTAACCATTTGGACTATTTGCTTCCTTGCTCTTTGAATTTTTTCACGTTTCTTTGCATTGGATTGGGAAAAACAAATAGTTGCACCTTAGAAAGCCACTTGCTAGCTTTTAAGACTCGATTCACTAATCATCACCATAGAATATAGAACACTGTCTTTGTGATGAGGTTATGCCAATAGATTTAGCTGTCTGCAAAGTCAGTTTTAATAATAATATAAATATTGATAGCTTTAAAAGTGCTTAGGGGTTCTCAATACTTTTTAAGACTTTATAGTCATCCTGAGATAAATTTGAGAACTGCTGACCTAAAATATGGAATTTTACATTCCTACAATGTGGTACTAGTATTTTTTCCCTAAGATCACCTTTCAGCCAATTACACATAATATTTTGCATATATATCCATATGTCTTTTTAGGTAGAGAAGGATACACATAGATTTATATATGTGTTTATTTTTATAATGGGTCTCTAGGTAGAGGATCACTGAGCATATTTCTTGTTCCACAGCTTCCGTGAAGTAAAAGATTACCTTCAGGATTACTTGTCCTCACTAGAAAAGATCGTTTTCATCGGTGAGGATAAGACAGAGCTCTACACACTCTTTATCAACTGCCTAGAGGTAAGTTGTCACTTCTTTGCATTCCTTTGCCATCTATCTGAACCACACAGTCTAAGACATGGAGACTGGTTCTGAAAATGAACACAATGTCATTTCAGTCAATAAAAGTAACAGAAATTCTGTTCCCATGGGAAAAGAACGGTTTTGAAGACTGCTTGCCCACACTAGTTGTCTCCCTTGCCATCTTTGTGCCCTGCACACAGATGCAACATAGAAGACCATCAAGAGTAACCACAGTTGCCTTGGGTGGTGAGACAACAAATACTTGGTTTTCTCTTCATATTTATTTCTAAAACATGGTTTCCATAGTGTAGTGGTTATTACATAATTATTTCTAAAATTTGGTAATGCATATGAACACAAATTGTTGCTGTTGTTTGGTGTTATCCAGTCAGCTCCGATCCATAGCAACTCTATTCCCAATAGCACAAAATACTGCCCGTACCTGGGCCATCCTCACAATCATTTTTATGCTTAAGCCCATTGTTGCAGCCATGGTGTCAATCCGTCTCCTTGGGGGTCTTCCTCATTTTTGCTAACCTCTACTTTATCAAACATCATATCCTTCTACAGCGACTGTCCCTCCTGCCAACATATATGTAAGAGTGTATGGCGACATGTACGCGAGAGAGACGAAAGCTCACCATCCTGGCATCTAAAGAGCACCCTGGCCATCCTTCTTCCAAGACAGATCAGTTTGTCCTTTGAGCAGTCCAGGAAACTTTCAACATTCTTCTGCAGCACAATTCAAAGGCATCGATTCTTCTACAGTCTTGTTTATTCAACGTCCCAATTCACATGCATATGAGGCAATTGAAAAGACCATGGCTTGGGTCCTGAGCACCTTAATCCTCAAACTTACATCCTTGCTTTTCAATATTCTTTTTTTTTTATCAATTTATTGGGGCTAATACAATTCATCACAATACATAGATCAATTGTGTAAAGCACATCTATACATTTGTTGCCCTCAT